CAAAGAGGAAAACCTAGGAAATGTCAAAAAGCCAATATCATAAAGACAAACAGGAAGAATGGGAGAGTTGGGGTGGGGCCTCCAAGTCAGAGAAGCCAGTAAGATACTCCAGAGAAGATATCATTAGGGAGCCACAGGAAGACTTCAGCAACTGGGTCTAGAGATACCACTAGAGATTCCTCTGCACAGATATGACACACAAAGATGTGAGAGCATCTCTCCTACATAAAAAAAGTACAGGAAAGCACAAAGGACTATCAATAAACAACTGGAAATGCCAGTATTCAGGTTAGAAAAGAACTACAAGAGAGAGTGACAATGTTACAGAACTATAGTTGCTTGTAAACAGGGGAGGGAGGAAATGAGCACCAGAAAATGAACACATATACACACAAGACTATGCACTTTCCCTTATAGCTGCTTGCTTTCAAGTATGTAATTATCATCTCAAAACAAACAAGAGAACAGAAAACTACATGATTTATCTTTATCTGCTAACCAGAAAGCTACTAAGGGCATGTTTCACCCCTGGGGAATTTAGTGTAACACTGTTACTTTTCAAATCTAGTAAATCATTACATTATCTGAGAAGCCTTAAAAAAGTACAGGTCCCTGAAGGATTTAGTAGGTATGGCATAGTCAGTATTTGGGATTCACTGGTCCAATACACACAATTTAGAACAAGATTACAGTAAATCTGGAATCACCATTCAACTATTTTCTCATCAAGTACTAATATAAATTCTTAAAATGGTAAATGACAAATTAGCAGACTGTGCTGCTGCATGCCTGTCCCAGCATCCTGAGAAGCCGAATCTGGGAGACTTGCAGGTTCTAGCCAGTCTGGGAATTTAGCAAGACCCTGTCTCAAAATAGAAACAGAACTTTAAAAATGAGATAGCGGGGAGAAAATAGGTAAAAAAGAAACAAAACTGCAATTTTACAATGAAAACTACAGCTTTAGGACACAAGACCAGTTCTAAAAACCTTTTTTTCCTTTCTCTTTCTCCAGAATACAATAAGCCTGGACAATACCCTTTCACATGTAAAATGGGCTTTTTCTGTTTGTTTGTTTTTTTTGAGATAGGATCTCACTATGTAGTTAAGGCTGGCCTCGAACTCCCAGTGATCCTGCCTCAGCCTTCCAGTGCTGGGATTACAGGTGCCACCATGCCCAGCAAAGTGGATTTTCTCCTGTGAAGACCATTATCTTTTTTTTTTTGGTAGCAAGAATTGAACTCAGGACCTTGTGCTTGCCAGGAGGCACTGAGCCACAGAGCTATATCCCCAGACTAAGACCATCACCTTCCTACGGGTGGGCCATCCTCTTCCACTCCCAAACTAAGACCATGACTATAGACTGACAAAATCCAGACTTCCACACGTACAGCTCCAAACTGTTGCACACCTCTCTCTTGGGTCTGCATTTTATTAATTTGAGTGTGTACTTCTCAAATTTCCACTTAATAAGCCCTTCCTGTGCCTCTTAAAAATAAAGAATGGGCGACTGGGTATGTAGCTCTGCCCAAAGGCCTGGGTTCAATCCCAGGTACTCAGAGGTGCAGATGGGCGGATGACTCCTTTTATCTTGAACTTCCTAAGAATTTCTTTTTTTTTTGGTTTTTTCTCTGGTACCGGGAACCGAACTCACGACCTTACGCTTGCCAGGCAGGCGCTTTGCCGCTGAGCTAAATCCCCAGGCCCTTCCTAAGAATTTCTGATTGGTGATCAGGTTGAACGTGAAAGTTCTTGGTCATGATGAAAAAACTTCCAACTCTAAACTTCCAGGTAATTTGCTAGCTTTGTATAACATCCTTAGCATTTATGTTACTACTAAGTTAGCAGACTCATTTTAAAAATTCATTTCAAGGGCTGGGGATTTAGCTCAGCGGCAAAAGCGCCTGCCTGGCAAGCGCAAGGTTGTGAGTTCGGTTCCCGGTACCGGAGAAAAACTAAAAAAAAAAAAAAAAAAAAAAAAAATTCATTTCAAATTTCTATTACTTGTTGAACTGAACCACAGTCCAATAAGCACATTTTGTAAATATTTTAACTTTGGGTTTTGAAGGTATTTAGCTACTGACTATACAAGATGGTTTTTGGTTTTTCTTTAAATGTTACAATATAGTTTTTGAATGTTATTCTGATTTTGTTTTTTGAGACAGGGTCTTATTACGTAGCCCTGGCTGGCCTAGAACTCAGTGATGATCCTCCTGCCTCAGCCTCTGGGATAACAGGGATGCACCACCACACTCACTCTGAATTTGTTGTGAATGTGAAACAATTCATCCAACAGGCACGCTGATTCTGCTGAAACCCTACATTAGTATCTATCATCTAGCCAGATGTGGTGACACATACCAGTACTCCCAGCACTACCGTAGGCTGAGGCAGGAGTGAGGTAGGGTAGAACTAGTAAAAGTAGAAACAGGTGACTCATAACTAAAAATTATACTTTTAAGAAGACTACAACTTCCAGGTACAAAGATGATCTACATCAGCATTCCCAGTAGTTAAATTTAGTAGACTCCTTTCCTTACAGATCATTCACATCCAAAATTCCTCAGAAGTACTGAGAGTCCATAAACTGGCTTAACTGAGAAAGTAAAGAACAGCAATCAATCCTAAGATAAAGGAATAGGTTCACAGGTTGCAAGAATCCAAAGGATGTTTAAGTTGCCTATCTAAAAACAAAAACTACATCCATACCTATAGAATGAGCTAGTAACCTTCTGGGGGGTGGGGGGTGAGTCACTTTTCCCCAGGCTTTCCAGTTTGTAAAGAGGACTATAAATGTTCTCTGTTCCAAAAAGTAAGGCATCTTTGTCTCTTGAGGGCTGACACACTCTATTCCTTTGAGTTTGTACCTTCTCATGCTTATTGACTAGTCCTGAAAATTCTTTGTCTGTGATGGCACCCAGCAAACCTATTCTCTGGATAAAGTGAATTAGCTTCCTTATCTTAGCCTTAGGAACCTCCTCAGAGCCTGTGCAAGGACAGGAGGATCACCAAGTTTGAACCTTGCCTGGCAACTCAGTGACTTAACAAAACCATGTCTCAACAATAACAACAAAACAACCAAAAAAAAAAGTATCTGTATTTACCTTCACCTTTCCATGTTCACTTTTGGGAGCTAATCCTGACAGTCCATATAAAGGAATACCTTTCTTCAATTATTTTTTGTGCCTGCTAGTGCAGTTACAATTAATTTGCATAAACTGATATGTGGAAACTAATAGTGCCTCAATTAATTTAAACTCAGTAAGATGATATGCCGTCCCCTCTATTAGAGGTAATCTGTCTACCTGTAAGGAATGTATGTGCTCACTATTCCCAACTTCCTTATATGAAAACTATACAATGACACCTTCAGGTTTCCCCCCAACTCTGTATTGGGGACAGAACCTAGGGGTTTGCTCGGCAAGTACTCTACCAGTGAGCATACATTCTCCACCCTTTTTAATCCTGAAACAGGGTCTAAGTTGTCTGAGCTGGCCAACTAGGAACCTTCTGCTTCGGCCTCCAGAGTAGCTAGGATTACAGGCATGGACAGGGGCCCAGCATCTTTTTGTTTGGTGCCATGGATGGTACCCAGGGCCTCATCACTGTATCTCCAGCCCCTTTCAGGTGTTTTCTAAGTGCCCTAATTATCTGTATAATTACACACGTCACACATACCTATAATTAGGAGTTAATATCTGCCTCTTCAATTAGACACTGTGTCCCTTGAAAGCAGGTCCCACATTTACCTTTGTATTAACCAGCTACTGCAAAGGACCGTGAGAATTCAAATGTATTTTGCTGAATGAACAGGATTCACAATATTTTTTGAAGGCCAACATGTTTTATGTTATTTGGTTGTAATGAGGCTATTCAATTCAGTATCAGAGAAAAAAAAAAAACCAGCATCAACACCAGCATAATTTTTCTTGCCAAACTACAAAATTTTACATTGTTTCTTTTTTGGCCGAGGGGGAAAAAATATCACTGAAAGGCTTTGATTCGTGCCCTTTCGGACGACCGTGAGAAATGCACACTGAAGAGATAGCAAAGTAACGTTCAAGAGATGCGCGTCACCTGGTTACATCTGGAAGCCACTGCGCTGTTAGGCTGGGCCACTCCAGAGCGTGGGTCATCACCAAATCATAAAGAAAAGGCGTGTTCTTTTTCCATATCTTGTACTCCTCGTTGATCACACGTTCTTCCACCGCGTCGTCAAAGGCTGCTACATTTTTTTAAAAGAAATCGAGTTAGCGCACAGGAAAAGAACCGAACGCATCTCTCCAAAGCCACTCGCCGGGCTGCCTCCATCTGACCGCGAGGAGAGAACCCATCTCACGCCCCCAGGCGCAGCGCCAACACGGCCGGCCCCCCTCGCGGGCCACACGTCCGCCGCCACGGGGACGCCGGGCCGGGCCCTC